TAACACTAATCTAACCCTACTTGATTACTTGATTAAAAAATGACTATGAATCAATTTCACCTATATCAAGCCCTTTTAAATTCCTTATTGCTGAAACTATATTATCTAGACTGTATTAGCCTAAACGCTTTACCCCCCTTAAATTATTAACATAACCCTAAACAACTCCAAATAAATCAATAAACAATTAAAAAATTCTGAATAATTAAACCAATTTTATTTCTATGTCCACCTATGTATCAATAGTGTAGCATATTACCACAAAACCCATCAACTGCAAGGAAATGAAGTAGTAAACTTCATACTACAATACCCTAAAACAAAGCCTTAACCCTTGCTCTAACCCCTAATTATCAAAGTACAGAAGAATACCTCAATCCTGATCCCAACCCCAACTGTAATTAAACCCCAGTGCTGCACATGCCTCCAAAATGCAATTTTTAATGAATTCAGTTTGCACGCCTATGCGAAATGGTCATAACATCACCTATCCTGTTAGGGAGATTTTGTAAACCATAATCAGTACCAAAACCTTTTGGACTTGATCCTCTGCCACGGAGTGCACGTTCCTCTCTCTCTCTCCTTTGCTCCGTCCGTCGGCAGTCTATTGCTCCTCTTCATATGAAGAAGAAACATACACAGAAAAAAGACTTTAGTAGTTAATGCAATCACTAAGTATTCCAACCTTTCAATATTCATTCGTTCTAAATTATTCACTCTAAGACTACACTCAGAATTAAATAGATAGCTACAAAAAAACCTTTTTGTATTTTAATCCGTTATTGAATTATTTAATTAAATGTATTATTAATCCGGATCCTATATTAATTTATTAAATCAATAGCTACAAACAAGTTTCATTTTAAACAAATCGCAGTTTAAACTTATAAGATTCGTGTTAAACCTCCCTGTGCCTATTTGTTACAGTCGTTCGGTTTCCTTGTCTTCCACCTGCAGTTTAACCATGGGTTGTTTTGGCGCATCCCACCGCATGCGCAACTATCATTTTAACTCATGTTGAGTTGTAGCATCCCCTGTGGTGTGTTTAGTGCGTAAAACAAAAAGTTCTCTAATCTCGTGCCATAAACTCCCCATTTTCTGTAGTGTAGTGTCGCAAAATAAACGGCATCGACAACCATTCACAAATACCTTTTCTCGTAAGAGAATGATTCTCTACTCTCTCTTCCCAACAGAAAGAATAACAGGCCAGCTGTAAACTTCCCATTTCCCCCTTATAGTCAAACCAACATTTAACGCGCTAACAAACAAACATACAACTGACTTACAGAAGTGAACAAGTTTAAGAGACTTTAATCCATCGCAAAATGGAAATCTTAAGGTATCCGTGCATGTAGCACGCAACACAATTAGCCTTCAACCTTAGCATTCGCTTAGCCTAAGGTTACAACGTGGACACGAAACACAATTAGCCTTTACCTTAGCATTAACATTGAGGCCACGGAGCTTACCACGTGACCTGAACAAAACCAGCCTTAGCTTCAGCCTAGCCAACTGCGGCCTACTAGCATACAAATGAAACACCCGCACCGCGCCCAATCATTGTCAGGAGTATCAATAATATCTATTTTCTAATTTTTTTGCCTTGGAAAGATGAATCTCATCATCAAGCGGTTATCCCCAGCAATTTCCCGTCGGACCGAGAGGAGCTATAACAAAATACACCATTCCTCATAATGCCCGCTTAAGGAATAACCTGACCCAATACTAAACTAGTCAAGATTTGTAGCCCATTCATAAAGAATCGCTCCTCGAGGTCTTTCCAGATTCACGGTGCTCTAACTATGCAAGATATCTTTCCAAACATTATTCTCTACCAATCCATTGAGTACAATCATTGTGTAAAAACGCGTTTACACATCAAAACAAATTTAAAATATTTTCGTCAGGGAATCCAGGTAACAGCCATAACGCCACCGAAACACGGTCGTAAGGTACATCCTCCAGTGTACACAAGCTAGTAACAAACCAACAATCTAGCTGTGTCTAGTCGGGGTCATGACTCCAAATCAAAGTCAGCTGAGTTAGCTTGTCCCCCGACTCCAAATGCAGAAAAGAAGGATGCCTAATCCCTCCTGGCAGCTCGCCATTCTGTCGTATATGATGAATGGTGGGGTCATTAGTGCTGTCAACAAAAGAAGTTTGCTCATAGAACATTGATCATAAGGTTTATTCAGACCACAAGCTTCGCACTGATGTTTACAGACACGCGTGGTACGGCGAGCAGTGTACTCCAATTTTAATGTCTGCTCTGTCCTATCTTCTTCGTGTACCCCTATTTATAACCAAGCAACAAGATGGGCTCCCTCTTCTGGCCAGTTTACAATACACTTCCTGTCTATTATATGTTACATTATCCTAACATAACCAACATTCCATTTCGTCATGAAAACATTTAACAAAGGCATAATCTTCAGATACGATAGTATTCAGACCGGTCCCGCCCATTTTAAGTTATTAATTTCAAGACATTAAATGTGATAAGCAGGAATGTCCAGTATTATTTGCGGATAGGTGTGTACCCACGTCCTCGCATGACCTCTCTGACTTTTCTTTCGATCATTACATTTTACATTTTAGTCATTTAGCAGCCCACTCTTAACCAGAGCGACTTACAGTTAGTGCATACATTTTTCATACTGCCCCCCGTGTGACTCAAAACCCACAACCCTGGCGTTGCAAACGCCATGCTCTACCAACTGAGCTACAGAGGGCCTCCTTCACAAGTTTATTTTGCAGAAAGACATTATTGGAGGAGTCGACATTCTCCATGTTTGTTTCATGTGAATGTTGTACATATTTTAGTCAGAGCCTTAAACACATGGCACTCCATGGTGTTTGAAGTGCTCTGCATTAGTAAAACCCCTTCCAGCAAGGCTGAAGTCTGGCAAAGCCCAGCCTCATCTTCCTACCATCCAGACATCAACTGTAAACGGTTTACTTTCTCTCAAGAGTTTCCTTTTACTGAACACAGGGTTATTGCTGCTCAAGCCTCATCTCCCTCACAATAAATTGAGTTTTAGATTCTTAAGATGGGAAAAAAAATCTGAGAAAAAACTAAGCTATAGACACTTACCAGCTAAAATGGCAGTTGTTGCTTATTACCCTTGAGGCTGTAGAAAATGTATTCATAGTAAATGCTTAAACACCACTACAGGGGAATGAAGTCACAGGCATGCATAATTATGGTTAGTATGCAGCTATGATACTTTAAAAGCATTAGTATGGTGTTCCTTTCTCTTTTATTTTAATAATTGGCTAATTATAGGACAAAATATTGTTACGGGTATTACCGCCTAGTGGAAAAGACGAGGTGCAATCAGGCAATACACTTTCCATGACATAGACTGACCAGCTGAATCCAGGTGAAAGCTATGATCCCTTATTGATGTCACTTGTTAAATCCACTTCAATCAGTGTAGATAAAGGGGGAGGAGACAGGTTAAAGAAGGATTTTAAGCCTTGAGACAATTGAGACATGGATTGTATAGAACTGCAACGCTGCTGGGTTTTTACGCTCAACAGTTTCCTGTGTTTATCAAGAATTATCCACCACCCAAAGGACATCCAGACAATATTAGGAAGGTGTTCCTAATGTTTTGTAAACTCACTGTATATTGTGTACAGTCCTAATTTCACATGCCATTTTTCCAAAAATAAATGTTGTGATCTCCAACTAAACACTCGGAAAAATGTCATTTCTAAATTGCCATTTGTTCATTTAGCCCCTATTACATTTTCCAACAGCAGAGTGACTTTCTTAGCACTTTAATTTGAATTAAGACACTGAAGTACGACGTGGATGAGCTACAGTTTAGCGACCATCTCGTAATCAACGTCCTCTTGCATGTACGTTCCACCGAGCACAGCTCATTTGGATCCTATTTTCTGTATTGCATTGTCTCATCCCCAATGCAGTCAGCTAGGCCCAGCGTTGGAGCATGAACTAGATTTGGTGAACTGTGTTCGTGAATAATGCATTTTTTCAGTGGCGTCCTGGCATTTGCCCGATGGGATTGCCTCTGGAGCATTCGCCGGGGTCTGCATTTCTGTTAGGTGACTGATGAAACACCTATGCTGAGTATTTCACACCTGTCAGTGACGTCACCAGGTGGAGATGAAAAGATAGAAATATCAGGAGGAACCACATGACGTGATGCTTCAGCCTTGTCGCATTTACAGCACATTACAGGGACCTTGAACTTTTACTAGCTTACTGCCACTATATTGGATTTGCAGACAGGCATAAAAAGGTATAAGCTGGAACATTTGATGTACTCTCTCGACGTTAGGCTACCACAGACAGCCTCTTCATGTGTTCCCACTGTGAGATATGCTGCATGTGATTGAGATAGTTTAGAATCATTCGAAGTCCAATCAACCTTTTAATTGGGAATCATATCCAACTTCAATTGAACACCAGAATAGGCATATCATAGATACATACAAATGTGAAATACGTCACCTTGAAAAATATTTTTATTGAATGCAGGTTTTTAATATAAGATACCTTA